ATATATATATATATATATATATATATATATATATATATATATATATATATATATATATATATATATATATATATATATATATATATATATATATATATCTGTGTGGGCATTTGTGATACCCCCCCTCATACTTGAATATTCTAATTCTTTATTCACAGTATCTGTGTCTCTTGCACCCTTTGGTGTTGCAATTTTAGGTCTGTAAAAGTAGATGTTAGCAGGGATTTTATTTCCCTATTCAACCTTTTACACATACAAAAAAAAAGATTGTTTAGCATGAAATTGCTTTCTGTAACATCTCAAAATGTGACCCTGTTTTAGTGCCAGATGCGAGTCTCTTCTGTGATACTAGAAAAAGTCTTTCTTTCTTTCTACCTGTCTTTCTTTGTTTTCTTTGCCATTACTGACTTTTGTATTACTTATCTTTCCCCCTTTCTTCCTGCTTTCCTGCCCTCCTGCCCTCCCTTCTCTGTCCAAAACTATAGTTTTGAATTCGATTATTTAAAAATATCATTTAGAATGAATATTTTGTCCTACCTTAAAAAACACTGAAGTACAAGTGATGTTTTTAAATTATTTATTTTTTTCTTTTGCTAAAGTTGAAACTCCAAGAAACAACAGGGAGTCTTCTCAGAAGTGATTTCATTTTTACAAATTACGTCTTTGCACTGATGTGCTTGGGCACCTCAGTAGAACAAGGCTCTAGAGAGTTGCATTCATAACATATATTGATTCCTGATATGTAAGCTCCCTAGGTAGGATAACCAAGGTGATGGACTGATAATCTTCAGAAACAATATAAAAAGTATATGACAGTGTTACTAATAAGAGAAAAGGCACTTAATTTGGAGTGTATGGGATTTCCAGCATTACTACATGGAAATTAAAAGGACACGCAAGATGGCTTGGTAATGTGATGCATAAGTGGACCACTGTCTACTCATGTAATATATGCTAGTTTTGACTACATGATAATTGTTACCTATTTTACCCTGCAGTTTTATGGCATTTTCCTTAAAATCACCTATATTACATTTGCATGTTCTCAAGCTGACCTGTATGTAAATGGTTCATTAGGATGGCTTTGTGTGTTGGAAGCTGTTGGACAAGGGCTACCTCTTAAACATTTTAACATTTACCTAGTATGTCTCAAGAATGATGCTTCAATTATTTTCAAAGAAAAACATCAACAATGCAAACAAACAAGAGGCTCATATCATTATAAAAGCTAACAAATGTATCACTGTGTACAATCTCATAAGATGCATGGAGCTGGCTCTCATTAGATCAATTTATTAGATGCACAAATGTGGTTCTTTGCACTTCTCCAGAATTGTTTTGTAATAGCTATAGGGTTATATTGGATCCTAATTTTAAAATAGAGCCTTAATGTCAAGCTCTTATTTGTAAATGAATGGGAACAAATAAATTTGTGTACTTGTTCAGATGATATAAGGATAGACTAATGCATAAATAGTCTGACAGGTTACATCTTAGAAGCTGCCTCATATTAAGATCCTGCTGCTTATAATGCAGTCATGTAGGCTTTTTCTTTTAAAGTTAGCCTGCAGTTAAAAGGACTGTTTTACTCTGTGATTGCTATGATATTTGGAATAACTGTATAAGTTCAAACACATCATTGATTACAGATATTAGAATACCCCTGCTGGATCAGAACAAGAGAGCCAATCTTGCTGTGGGCTCCATGCCATTGCTTTAAAGAAATTAAGTCAAAAAGAGCAGTATTTTATATGAAATATTGTCACTCTGACTCTGTGCTGTTGGTTCTTACAGAAGTCTCTTTGAGTTTTTATGTCTTTTTTCCAATCTTAGAGCAGGAGAGCATCCAAGGCTCTACTGAATCTGAGGTGGACAATGCTAAGTGTCAGCCAGTCAGAACAGTGTTTAATCTGTGACTATTTTGTAATCTGCTTTTTTGAGATATAAACACATTCTAGATGATAAAGTTGCTTACCAAGCATATGTGTCCAAAGTCATTAATTCCACTTTGCAGTTTTATCTTACCTTGAAGCTAAGTCCTTGTAATCATAATTGTCTTTCCATAGAAAGAATAGCAGAAGCTGATGAACTTATACAAGTTGAAGAGGCAGAAGAGGACCATGCTGTAATATAAGAAATGCGTGTACTCTTGTTACAAGACTCTAGATTTTTACTGAGGACAAGGGCAGGCATTGGCTGGCTAGTAATCCCACTGAAACTTTAACTGCCAACTGTAGGCTTGATTTAAAAACTAACGGCACAACGTAAGCCCTGTAAGGGACATGGTCACACAAAACATTGGATCATCTCTGCAGAAATTCTTCTTTGCTTGTTCCCTAAAAAAGATAATTAAAGCTGTTAATCCATGACACAATAACTTTGACTAGTAAGCTCTATGGTCAAGTATAATAATTTAATACACATTTAGCAATTCACAGCAAAGGTGAGGAAAAAGTCTATAATCAAAACTATGTACTAAAACTGTCCCATAAGAAGGCAGGATCCCCTCTCCCCCTTGTCTACAATACTGTAGTGTTTACTTTTGTGTGAGCCTAGGCACGAAGGCAGTGGTGTGCTGTAGCTGGCTTGTACCAGTTTGCAAGAACAGATTGTTAAATTTTCTGGAATTTTGCAAGCCAGATAGGAGAGTAGCACTGCAATGCCCAATACACTGATCAGCTGTTTGGTAGCAGCTAGCAGAGCCAGTTGTCATACATTGATGAGCATCTCAGTGCATGAAGGGTACAGAAAAGTACGGAGGCTGTTCCTATCAACTCTGAACCAAGCCGGCAGTCACCTTGCTTACTGGATGGTACATAAGTGTAAATGTGTGTATCTGTACACACACCCACACCTAGATGATGTACATTTATAATTACAACTTCCACTTCTTTCTGGCTGTTTGCAAATGAGTCTCTTTGCCAAAAGAGTATCCAAGAAGGATCAATGTGTATTGTCACAACAGATATGCTAGGGGGTCTTTCTATTTTACTAGGCACTAAAATTCCTTTAAATATATTAGATAGTGAAATAGTAAGCCAAATTATCAGCTAAATCCAGGCTTGTGATTTATGATAGACAACTGAATGCAATGCAACACATACTGAGTACCCTGAAGTTGCTGGGCCCCAGGAAGACCACTGTGCAAAGTTGGTTGGTCATCAACAGCTTTATTTTAAATTTAAATAATTCTTGAAATGCAAAAGCAAATTGCCAAAAAAAAACAACCCCAGAAAATCTTCAAGAGCACAATTTAAAGAAGACTGTATCCATCACTACTAATAGAATAATCAAGCAAAGTTCCTTATATAAAGAATTATTATTTTGCAAATCTGGTAAGGTCAAACCTAGCAATCACTTCAACTTTAGCAAAGAGAAATACAAAATCATTTTCGGAGTACTGGGAATTTTCCTTTCTCTTTCTCTTTTAAGATATACTGTGGGCTGTGAGAAAGCCTGTGGAATTCTTTCCTTTCCTGGTAATTCTAGAGCCTGTTATCATAAAAGAGGCATTTCTTGAATGACTGGTGGTAGGTAGTTCATGTTTTTCAATCCAACTTGCAGTTGTATTTGTTGCTGTATAGTGATTGTTTTGCAAAATAAAATCGCTTGTCATCAACTTGCTTGCATCCCAAGTTTCTGTTTCTCCATTAGATCCTCTGCTGTTCCACATTGCAATATTAGGATAATTTAGCCTAAAGAAAGGAGTCTCCCATGTCTCCTCTGGAAAAGGATTACCAGGGCAATTTCTATCTCCTAGGAAGTCAACTTGATAATATAACTTGCTGTGTTTATTTGCTTCTTGAACCTAGCAGGTTCCAACCCATCAAGCTGAGTGTTTGTGCTTAACACATGCCTGACGTTTCAGGGGCATGTATTAATTTCCTGGTGACATTCCAATGGTGATACAAGGTAGGAAGGTGGGAATGGGGAGGGAATGATTGTAAATGTATACAGTAGTCATATGCACCAAATATTATAATGTATCTTATAGTTCTCCTTTGAGATTGTCTTTTGTACGTACGGTATATAAACAGCTTTCAACTGGTAATGAATAAATATACCTCCTGCTTCTGCCACATAAACAAGAATATCTGATACTGCCAGGACTGTCTACATTTTGGAATACAAAGTTTTCAGGTAAAATGAAGCCAGGCTTGACATCTCAACTATTAGGTATTTCCCCAGAA